GCCTCGGTCTCCCCAGATCTGTGCCGCCATCTGAGAGGTGCTGCAGGCGGCTAGGGGGCAGCAGGAAGCTGGGTTTCTCGGAGCGGGTGCACTGCCTCCCAAAGACCCGCTGCGTGCCAGCCGTTTCCTGGGGGAGACTGCCTGGAGGAGGAGGCCGCCCTTCGCAGCTCGCCTCGCCCGGCCCGCGCCCCCACTGCGCCCCCTGCCGGCTGCGCCCGCGCGCTCCCGACCCGGGCGCGGGGATGCGGGTGCGGGCTGGGACTGCAAAGGCCGAGGAGACTGCGGGAAGCGGGTGCAGGGCGGAGAAACCCCGCGGTTAATGGCACCGCCCCCCTGTGGGTAGAGGAAGCCCCCACACGGTGTCCACCCTGCCCACGAGGAGTTCACAGGCCTGAGCAGGGGCGCTGGCTCCTGTGACTGGGGGGAAAGTCCTTCCCAGCCGCCCCACGCTCTGCTCTGCAGCGCAAGGTCTGCTGGTCCTGTGGGGCGGAGGCCCCAGAGTGTCGGAGACGGGGACACAGTTTACAACGAGGAGTCACGGGCTCAGATGTCCACGGGGCTGGGGTCTCACAGGACTCTGCCCCTTCCTGCTGACCTCGCCACTTGACCCTAACCCCTGGAACCAGTGGGACCAGTGCACATGTGGTGCTCGTCTCGTCTGTGGATGGCGAGCTGTTCGGGTGATCCGTGCATGCCAGGTGGGCACAGGTGATGCCAGGTGGGCGACTGTCATGGTCCCATTACGAGGTCCCAGGAATGACAGTGGACAGAAGGGCCCCAGTGTAATCCCAGCACTCCAGAGGCTGAGGCAGGAGGATCGTTGCAAGTTCCAGGCCAGCCTGGGCTACATAAGTGAATTCAAGGCCAGCCTAAACTGCATAGTGGGACCTTGTCTCAAAAATACCAAAAAAAAAAAAAAAAAAGAACAAAACAAAACAAAAACCCAAAACCCAAATGTGGGAGTCAGTGTCCTTATTCTCCCCCTTTTTTTTGAGACAAGATCTCATTATGTAGCCCAGCTGGCCTCAGATCAAGAGATCCTCCTGCCTCAGCCTCCTAAACCGGGATGACAGGCATGCATCACCACCCCTGCCTCACTGATGGCAGGCATGTCACTCCCTGCTCTGCTGTAGCTTCTCTCCTGCAGAGTGGGGCTAGCCTGTGAAGCCACTGTGCCCTCTGTGGCCCCCTTTCCTCTGGAAGACCCCGCTGAGAAGCTCCACCTTCAGTCCAGGCTGTCCTTGCTGGGCCCCCCCTGGCCCCTTGTGGTGACATGGCAGAAGCCACGGCTGAGGCTGATGCCCACCGTCCTGGCGCCGAGCCACGAGGACCCTGGTGAAACTGTGACCTCCACCCTGCCCATGCCTGCTACACACCACCTGCCCCGGGGGCTGCCGGGCTCCAGCCTGGGCGCTTTGGGTCGTCCGTGCCTCCTGCGGCCCTGCTGTGCCCACACCCTTGCTGGTTCCCGCAGGTGTCGGGTGCTGTCCAGGTGGCCCCTGGGCCAGGCCTCTGGCTTGGATTCCAGCGGGGCCGCGGGCGGGCGTGGATGGGCCGCGCCTGGCAGGGCCGCCTCGGCAGCCGGTGGCTTCTTCCTCCCCTTGGGCCCCGGAGAGCCCGGGAGAGGGAGGGCAGCCTCCGTTCCCGGGGTGGCTGGGTGAACTGAGGCCCGGGCCAACGTCCTGAGAGCTCACCCTGTAAGCTGCTGTCCCCCGGTCCTCCCGGCGTGAGTGACGGGCGCTCAGCGGGCACGAGTCCCGTGTCACAGCGAGGAGGCGGAGGCCTGCGCCGGGGACCCACTCTGCTGTGCCCTTGAGCTCTCCCAGGCTGAGGCCAAACGGGAAATTCAGGACAGAGGTGTGGCGGTGCGGGGAGCGTCAGGAGCCGGCCCTGCTGAGAGGGAGCAGCGTGGACAGATCCATGCCCCTGAGGAGCAGGACCAGGTGCTGGCGATGGAAGCCGGCGGCAGGCAGTGCGACTGGGACAGGGTGGGCGGCGCGGGCAGCCTGCAGCCTGCGGGGAGGCAGTTGGGGAGGGTGGGGAGGCGGCACCGTCCTCCCGGGCTCCTTTCCTCAGGTCACCAGGGAGGCCGGGGACTCTCAGAGCGGCGTGGGGATCAGGTGAGAGCAGCACAGGGTCTTGGGGCGCTTTCCCCTCCCCTCAGGCTGCTCCCCGGACCCAGAGGTGAGGAGAAGGCAGGAGAAGGCTCTGAGCTGGGTGTGGTGGCGCATGCCTGTCACCCCAAGCTGGGGAAGCTGAGGCAGGAGGATTGCCATGAGTTTAAGACCGACCTGGTGTACATAGAGATATCCTGTCTCAAGAAGAGGAGCAGGAGGAGGAGAGGGAGTTGGGGGGGCGCTGGCCTTGTTCTCAGGACCTTCTGTTAAGACGCCAGTGCCAGACCCACTCTGCGGCCAGGTTCAGGTCACAAACATTTCTTCCGACCGACTCAGGGAGACCTGTGTGACCATGTACACAACTGACGTGGCGACAGGGAGACACGGAAGTGGGTCTTCCTTTTGGAGGTGCTGAGGCCCCCAGCTGGGCAGGAGGCACCCGGGAGGAGGCTCTAGGACACAGGAAGGAGCTGTGGCCAGCAGGGACCAGTGCCCAGCAGGAGCAGAGCCCTTCACATGGGGAGTGGGCTCAGAGGCCAGGGGTCAAAGGGCCTGGGGACAAAGGTCACTCCACTTTTGGAGCCAGGGACACGTCCTGAGGGGCCAGCTCGGCTAGAGGACCAGGGAGTTGTCTGTGATCCTTTGTCCTGGGTGGGGGAGGGCGGGAGACAGGACGGGTCTGACCTGAGGTCTCAGCTGCACCCGGGCCACCCATCTTGCAGGGAGATGGAGGCCCGGGGCGCAGACCCAGGGAGCCCAGGAGGATCCCGAGGTGAGTGGGCGGTCAGGACGGGAGGTCATCGAGGAGGAGGAGGAGGAGGAGGAGGGGGCCACACCCGCCCCGCCCCCTCCCGGGTGGCACCACTAGGCACGCAGCCGCATATCACCCGTGCCAGCCCTCACCTCCCGGCAACGTCGCCGCATTCTCAGCCACGCCATCTGGCGTGCCCGCCGCTCCCAGCACACTGCGGCGGGCGGGGGAGGGGGCAGCGGGGCAGGTGCCCACCCGGCCAGCAGGGAGGGCGCTGCGGGTTCCCTCCGCCAGTGGCTCCTGCTCTTGAGGTGGGCACGGGCTGGGCAAGGGGGTGGCAGGTGCCTCAAGCATCCTGCGCTGCTGGAGCACGCACCGCCTGGGCAATGCCAGCCACCCTGCCCCTCCGTTCGGCAATGCTAGGGACACTGAGCCTTTGAGCATCTCCTTTGGCAGGGGGGCTCCTCACATGTCCTCGTGCCCACCTGTCTGTCCCCCAGCCACTGAGGCCCCAGAGATGGGAGTCTGGCTGTGGCCAGGGGCTGACACCTAGGTGGGACCCACCTGCTCCCCACAGCCTGGCACTGTGGTAAGAAATCCAGTCTCCACACACGTGTGCCCGCCAGTCTCCTTCGGGGGTGGCTGGCTAGACGTCCCTTCTGGATGTCAGAATGCACAGCAGCAGGCGGACTCATGCAGAAATAGGGTTATGAGGAGCAGCAGGAGGTGTCTGGAGGGCAGTGCTCTAGAACGTTCTTCCCGTCCCCGAGCGAGGGCCCCTGGCCTGCTCAGGAATGACCGCCTCCTTCCCTCAGCGATGTTCTCCGCAGCTCCTCAGCCCCCTCAGCCGTCTCAGCCCCCTTCACCCCTGCCCCTCAGGACCTGAGCTGTACAAAATGGCTGCCACCCTTCCGAGGCAGCCATTTTAGGTGCCCAGACTGTGGCCTCCCTTGGGATGGGGCTATGTCTCCATGGGAACCTCAAGCCCCTTTCTTCCTGCTCCCTCTGAGAGGTGTGGGCAGCGGAAAAGGGGGTCTTCCGGACCTGGCTGAGGTGCACACCACTCTCCTTTTTTCTCTCCAAGGCCTGGAGGGGACCAGGCCCCTCACCAACTCCCTCCCCCAATGCCACGGGGAGGAACAGATGGCATCTCTGGGTGTCCTTCTCCTTTCCTCTCCTTCCTTCCATTTCTGGCTCTCTCTGTCTCTCCGTTGCCGCATCTCTGCCTCTCTGGGTGTACGGAGGGGAGCGTGCCTGTCCCTGCGTGTTCCTGCTTGTCGGTGTGACACGGACACACGTGTGGCGCCTCTTTCCAGCCTGTGTCTGAGGCAGGCCCATCCCACACCTCCCTCTGTTCCAATTTTCCCCTGGTTTTTATTGTATCTTCTAAAAAAAAGTTGAAATGTGTTGAGAAAAACTTGTTCCATTTTTCTGAAGGGAGGAAAGACAGAGGCAGGAGGCAGGCTGAGAGGGATGAAGTTCCCTGCACCCTCACCCACCTCAGGTATAGCCCCCCGACCCCAGGGGTCCTCCTGTGGGGGGCTGAGGGGGGTTCCCAGGCCCAGAACGCTGAGGTCACGCTTAACAGGAGGTGCAGGGAGACTCTCAGGGGCTGCCTCACCCTGACCAAGGTCCTGCCCCCTGCTGTAGGGCTCTGTGAGACCCCAGTGAGCTTCCCTGGTGTCTATGGGAGAAGGCAGAGAGAATCTTCCCCTTATCTATCCACACGTTCACCCAGGAATTTACAAAAATTCCATTTCTTATAGACAAACCATTCTGGATGTGTGCTGGGGGGGGGGATAGGTGCAAGAAATTAATACTGTAAAACACGTTACAAACTGTCTTCATGAAAACAAGAGCTGGCAGTTATTGAACACTTGGCTCAGTGCATGTAGTATGCCACCGAATGATAACAGCACCCCAGAAAGCAGTAGCAGCAGGGGCCCCATTATGCAGATAGGGAAACTGAGGCTGATGAAGGCTTCGTAACTGGCTGAAGGTACTGAGCAGCTTTTAAGAAGTTGATGAGCAGCAACGACCAGGTCCGGGAAGCCTGGAGCACGTAACCAGGGTACCATACAGCCAGGGACTCTGGACAAGGCCCACTCAGCAGGACTGGCGGCTCCATAAAGGGACAGGAAAGCCTCTAATCAAGGGGTACCTGCCCGCCTTGAGGCCCATTCTTGACTTCTGCCTTTGCCATGAGTAGGGTTCATCCTCCAGCAGCAGGGCCGCCCAGTGGCTTGTCCGTAGAGACCACCCAGGCAGAAATCGGGGAGCACCGGACCGGAAGCCCAGTACTTGGGTTCTAGACCCAGCACGGCTCACCCCGCGTGCTCCCCCAGCCCGCTGCCCTCTGGAGATGCAGGTAGGAGGGCCTGGGGCTGCCCGTTCTGAACTCCCAGCCCCTGGCCTGGTGACTCTGCGAGCCCCAGACAGACCAGCCCCGCCCCTGTCCCCAAGGCCCGGGCTATGGCGTTGGGTGCACACAGAGCTTAGTTCCACCTGTGTCCCCTCAGCCCAAGGCTCTGGAAGCTCCTGCTGGAGAGGATGCAGCCCCCTTGCACCCGCCCGCTGCCTGGCACAGGGGTGACCCAAACGTGTGCCAGCTGCGTAATTCGGGTGGGGCAGGAACTGGGGCCTGAAACACCTGAAACACGCACGTGTCCGAATCAGGCGTGGGCCGGGGTCTCCGGCCACCAGGCAGTGATGACCTGCTCACATGCACGTGTCCATCCGCGTGGGGCTGTATATCCATTTTCTGCACCGCAGGGTGAGGAACAGGTGTGTGTGTGTGTGTGTCCATGCGTGTGCATCCTTCAGCCTGCGCGTTTTGCATCTCACTGCGGCCCAGTGAGAGGGTGGAAAGGTGAGCTGTGACACGAAGCGTCCCTACCTTCCTCACCGAGACACCTGTCTGCCCCCTCCCGGGCTGCTCCTGGGACCCCGTCGGCCACAGTGGCTGCAGGTTTTGCGCAGGGGCGGAGCAGGCGGTTCCCAGCCCAGCCTCCCCCTCCCGCCCTCTCGGTGCCCAGTGAGAGGGAGCCACGGTCCGTCACCTGTCACCTGTCGGCAGGGGGAGGAGACTGCAAGGGCGAGGAGGGGGAGAGGTTTCTGGGTCAGGAATCCAGACTCAGGCCTGCTACCCGCCCCCATGGAGGGGTGCACGGGCTGATCTCCTCGGGTCCTCCCCACCCCCACGCGACGTCTCCCTGTGCCCCTGGAACCCAGGAAAACATCTCCCGTCCCCTGACTGCACGGATCCACACACACGTCCCCACAGACACACACGCACCGTGCGGCGGCACAGACTCCCAGGCAAAGCTTCCCTTTCTCTGTCTTTCCCTCGGTTTGAATTTCGTTCAGCCACATATGTCGCGTGTGCGTGCGGGCGGGTGGGGGAGGGGCAGACAGGGATGAGGATGGCGCGGTGCCAACACCCACCTATGGGGCTTGGGCCGGGGACGCCCCCCACGCCCACCCTGGAAGGGGGCCTCAGCTGTCCCTTTGTGGTGGAGCGGACCCTCCTGGGGAGAGGGGACAAGCACAGAGGTCCCTGCCCCACACCCCAGGGTCTGGTCCTGACCCACCTTGGGGGCCTGTAGGAGAGGAAGGGGACGGACCAGGACCCCGGAAGGAGCCTAGAATTGGCGGCCACCACAAAACCCCAATTTCCAGCCTGGCCGCCCCATTGTTCCCATGTGGGGGGTTCTGTGTCTTGGGGGGCAACTCCTCCCACCTCCCTCTCCATCCCTGCTTTCCCTGCGTTGGGCGGGGAGGGGAGGGCGGCAGAGATATTTATTTATTTCCTTTATTTATTTAATTTTTTTTTTTTTTTTTTGGAGTAGAGAGTGACAGATGGCGGCGGGTCCCGGGGGAGCCGGCTCTCCCCCAATGCAGACGCATGCCAATCACCGTCTCTCATGTGATAGCTGCTGCCCGTGACGTGCCAAGCCCATATGGCCTGGCATAGAGGCTGGTACCCCGCCTGGTAGAGATGCCACACTCGCTCCGCGGTTCGCATGGCGCGCTGAAGACGCCGGCGCCCGCCGCCTTGAGGAGCCGCTGCCCCCGCTCCGTGACGATGGGGGAACAATGAACTAGGCGCCGAGACCCCTCTTCCCCCCTCTCTTCTCGCCCCCTCCCCCCTCCCCTCTCCCCTCGACTCCTCTCCGAGGTAAGTTGTCCGAGAGGGAGCTGGGTCTGACCTGCCAATGGGGGGGGGGCTGCTCGGCCGACACGAGGGTCCCCAAAGGCCCCCTTTCCGGGACGAGGACCCCTCACGGGTGCGCGTCCAGCGGAGGCGCCCTGGGTCCCCCCCACGCCCCAAGAGCTGCAGCTGGGGGCTGCGGAAGGAGGGTTTCTGCCTGCGATGGGCTTGGAGGGGGGAGGCAGAATCTTGATGTGGGGGCGCGTGGAGGCCGAGGAGGGGACCCTCGAGGCTGTCCCGAAGGAACCTGCGACCTTTCCCCACCACCACAAAAAGAGGAACAAGCAAACAAATTTGGATTTTCTTCCCATCCATCCCCAAATACAACGAGATCTGAAGGGCCGTGGGGGAGGGAGGGGGCTTGGGGTTCGCAGGGGGGTCCCTGGCCGCTGGGGACACGGACGGGGCCGGCCTCGGTCCCCGCCCCGCGCTCCAGTCCCGGCTGCCTGGGCCAACGCCGAGCGGGGCGCAGGGCCGAGGAGGGGGTCCCCCACCTGCACCCGGGCTGGGGGCGAGGGCGGTGCTCGGCCAACTGGCCGACTTGCAAATTGGATTAGGGACGCGGGGGGCCGCCCGGGGGTGAGGGTAGGGGAGCCGGGCCGCGGTGGGCGAGGGGCCGCTGTCCCCGTCAGCACCCGCCCAGCTACTCTCCTTCACCTCCGGGAGCGCGCAGGGTTGGGGCGGGCGCGCCGCCTCCTCGGCCGGGAAATCGGGTTCCTGCAGCCCCCACCGGGTCCCCACGCGGACCTGGGAAGGACCTGGGCGGCAGGAGGGCCCCCCATCCCCGCGAGGGGCGGAGCCGTGTCCGGCTCGGGGAGCTGGCCTGAGCCTCAGCCGGGCCTGGGCGGGGCGGCAGGAGGAGGAGGAGGAGGAGGAGGGGGCGTCCGGGACCACGGGCCGCAGCCCGCTGGAGACTCGGGGTGCGGGCGGCTGGGGGGCGCCGGGACCCCAGCGCGCCTTCACTCTGCGCCTTCTCTGTCTCCCCCGCGCCCCGGGGCGCCCGCAGGCACCATGCTGACCCGCCTGTTCAGCGAGCCTGGCCTCCTCTCGGACGTGCCCAAGTTCGCCAGCTGGGGCGACGGCGACGACGACGAGCCCAGGAGCGACAAGGGCGACGCGCCGCCGCAGCCGCCGCCTGCGCCCGGGCCC